AGAGAGAGAGAGAGAGAGAGAGAGAGAGAGAAATAGAGAGAAATAATAGACTTGAAAAGTATCACAACTTGGGCTGATATACTTCATCAGACCCAGCACGGACAACTGGCTTCCCTCAACGTTTTTTAAATTCCTTCTGGAATGACCTACGTAGGTTACTTTTTTTCTTTTTTTAAAAAATCACCGAATCCATGTTTGTGTCAGGTTCATAGATCTATATGTAGTATCTTACAAAATTCATAAAAATTTTGGTATTCCCTTCCCTTCACCTGAAGATTTGAATAGTCTTTGGATTTTATTTTTCAAAGGCTGTCGTGGGATCTGTAAATTTCAATGAATTGAAGAGTTTTCTCTATAGACCAGGTTGCCATTAAGCAGTTTACGTTCAGCCGTGTAGTTTGTCACTTTGTGCAGACGTCAGACAGTCGAGTGTGTACAGTAGACGTGTAGACCAACACATCGTGACACAGACGCCAATCCTGAACTGCACCCCGTCTATGAATTGTATGGGGATTTTTTTTCTCTCTTTAATTATTGAAAAACCACCAATTCTGCTCGGATCTTGCCTAGGAATTGGGTTGCTCGTTTCAAAAATGCAATCAGATTTTATGTACAGTAAATCATTGTGAAGATATTGGCAGTGACAAAATAAGCCGGCTAGGCTAAGCCCTCGAGGTCACACAAAGACTGTTATCGACGGAACGCGCGGAACGGTGGCCAGAAATAAATCCAACATGTTCAAACCACCGGTTCGGCCTCCCGGTTTAACTTTTTTTTTCTAGGTCTGGGCTAGCCTAGCAGTTTTTCATTCACATTATGCGGTTCTGCCGCCATGTTTGCCATTGCATTCCGAACCGGCAGTGCGGAACGTACTTCTAGATATAATGTGTAGTGCCCTCTATGTCACGATGTGCTGTAAACAACACACTTGATTGTCGGCCTAAGCTACACAGTTAAACATACTGCAAAATGGCAACCTGGTCGAGAGGGAAAGTTCTTCAATTCATCGAAATTTACAGATCTCACGACAGCCTTTGGAAAATAAAATCCAAAGACTATTCAAATCGCCAGGTGAAGGAAAGGGCATACCAAAATTTGCTCGATTTTGTAAGAAGCTTTGAACCGGACGCAAATAAGGAATCAGTAATCAAAAAAATTGGTAACCTTCGTGGGTCATTTCGGAAGGAATTAAGAAAAGTTGAGGAAAGCCAGTTCTTGTACGGTACTGCGTCTGATGAAGTATATCAGCCCAAGCTGTGGTACTTTTCAAATCTACTATTTCTGAGGGACCAAGAAATTCCTCGGGTGAGGTGTTCATCGATGGATATTGCCAATGAAGACAACAGAGATACAGAAGTGGTACAGGAGACACAATTTACAGAGGTGGGTTAATAAGACTTTTTATTTTATTGTCAGTTTAAAATAATTCATACATTAATTAAAGTTAAAGCAGTAGCAAGATGCTCTACAGCTATGAGTTTAAGTGAAGGGAAATATGCTTTTAAGAAAATATAATGATAATATTATTCGGTTAAAGAAGACTAAGACATTCTCTTTTTAATTGCAGGGTCAAATGTAGAACAAAAAGATGCTACATAATAGAATTGATTTAAGACAAAACCCAAAGTCATTAAAATTCTTTTTTTTTTTACCAGCAGTCATACGGCTTTAAAATCATATAACTTTTCAGCAAAATTATAGTGTAAGTCATTGTTTCAAGGGGTAGATGTCCCTGTACATTTACCACACTTTTGTAAATTGAAATGCAACTAGCAAACAAACTGTAAAAAGGTCCATAATAAGAATACGCATGCACACACACACACACACACACACACACACACACACACACACACATACACAGACACTTACACTCATGCACTTACACGCTCACACGCAAACAAACTCCCACACAAACAGCCTACACATGTGCATATAGTTTAAGTTGTCAGGAAGAATAAGGTAACGCCCAAATATTGAAGCCATGTATGTTTTTTAAAGCTGAAATAAGCATAGAAATTACGGAACTGAAACTGTTAAGTGTTAAGGAAAAGATTGAAAGGGCTTTTATCGAAACCGTTTCCTGACACA